GTAGTATCGGGATCCTCCAGTAATGGTTGCACCTTAAATGTCGCATTAGTGAGACCATCTAAGCCGAAGTATGTGGCACCCGTCGAACCGCTAGTCACACAAATTTCACCAACTTGATCGGTTTTACACAAAACCGGCAAACCCTCTGAGCGCACCACGACCATTTGTGCGGCTGGCATAACTTGACCGCAATCCTGCAGCGTTAACGATGTAAGCGAATCTTCACTATCCACACGCACTACGCCATGTGACAGGGCGGCCATCGACAGCACACCACGTCCAGTGGCCGATTGACTAAAGCCTGTGGAAGAACGACCTGGACGACGCAGCGACACTGTAAAAACTTCTGAACTGCTGGCACATGGGCATATAGCGTCTGAACGCAAACCCTTCGATTGGAAAACACTTAAGAATTGGTCGCATGACGATAGTGACCAAGGATTAGCACCATCGGCGACGAGTAACATACGCAACGATGACAATGAGATGTCTTTGTGATCTTTTGTAGCCAATAGACCCCAATGTAAGTCACGACTCTTCACTAGACAACAGGAGGCGCGATGTTTGGTGATAAGTTGCATCCACGACGATGGACGTAACTTCATCAATGCGTAGGGTATGAATAATACATGCATTCCATTCAATACTGATGTGAGTACAGCGTGCCATAAGCCAACTTCACGCTTAAAATCCAACACACAAACAATTGTTTCACCTTCGGTGTAGTGACAAGCCATGGTGAGAGCGCGACAGTGATTCATCATGGCCAAACGAGTGACGGTAACACCTTAAAAAGAAAAGGAAGTACATTTGTTAAGGGTAGATGTTATTTCGGAAGTCTCTGGTTGCTACTCGAATTCGAGACATCGGTTAGGTATGATTAAAAAATTAAATTCAAAAGGAAAAAAAAATATATATATTTGTAATTAAGAAAAAAACTCATAAAACAAAAATTATAAAATATCGATTAAATATGATATTAAATAAATACGTTAATAGTAAAAATAAATATTTTTAAAGCAAGCTTTCTAAATATGAACCAAATCGGACTATAAATACGTTTTTTTTTTTCATTTCTCGCCTCCTGCGCCACCTATCGGATTAACTCATCTTTCGTATTGCATTGTCATCGGGTACTGAGTCTCTAGGTCATCGGGAAGTTGGTAAAAAATTTATTACAAGATTTGCCCCTAACAAACATACTTACATACATAGAGAGCAAGTTAAATAAAAATCTATCAGTTATGATCGAAAAATTTAATCCAAGAAAACGATCATTTTTATTTGAAAAAAAAAACATAAGCTATCGATAAAAAATAGTCGAAAAAATAAATATCCAAGAAAAGATGCATATGTTCTTTTTATTGAAAAAAATAATTATAATATTCATATCTGTTTGATAAAAAAAATTATTAAATGTTAACAAATAATTTCAGCCCGAGAAAAACAATTATTTACGATAGAAAAAATTAAGATTTTATTGAGAAAACCGCTAAAGATTATAGTTTAACGATTGAAATTTATCGAACAATTCATTTCCAAAAACAAATTGATTACAAAATAATAAGAAACCGACCAAATGTGATAAAAAAAAACTTGGATTCTGGAAATAAATCCATAATCGAATTCCAAGAAAAACGACCTTTTTTTAATAAGAAACTTAAAATCATAACATATCGATTATTTGTGACGAAATTATAAAAATAAAAAGAGAATAAAAAAATTTGATCGAATAATAGAAATTCAACACCACTGAAACACAAAAAAGTAATTATTTGTTTAATTTTGAGGTTTTCTCGATACTTTTTTTATATTCTGGGGATTTTTTCTGGACCTTCGTTTTTTCCCTGAAAGCTTTCGAGATTTTTTGGGACTTTTCGTGTTTCATTCTCAGTTTTTCCCGAGATTGGGACTCTTCGTTTTGTGTTCGAGAATGCACGAACGAGAATATAGTAATTAAGAAAAAAAAATTTTTTTGAGATTTTGAAGATATCTTTTTTTTGAGTACTTTGTTTTTCGACACATTTTGGGATTTTTTTTCGGGAGTTCTCGTGTTATTCAGATCTAACTATAAACTTTTAACTGAACACTAAATATAAATTAACGACTATTTTCTGCTTAACAATCTTGAGGCAAATTGCGCTTTCTATTTTTGTCATAAAAAATAAAAAGAAAGATTATCTGGGTTTCTGGCTCCAAATATTAGTTTACTAAAATTTTAGCTTTTTATTCTTATTTAATTATCGATATATAGAACTTCCTATAAAAGGTTTGAAGGTGGTGTTTCTCATTTTACTATTATGAGCTTTCACTATGAAATATCTTAATACCAGTCAGTGATTTTGTAAATTATGACGACAAAATCTATATAATATTGCTCTCCACTCACCCATTACACTGCCCTCCTTATCGGTTGTATACTCTATGTATGCCGTAGCCGTGTCCTCGATACGTATATTGCCAACATTGAAATCTTTCGGTGGCTTTGGCAGATGTTCAGTTACAAACCATTGCAGGCGTGGCCAGCCCTTCAATTTAGCAATTTCGCCAGTGGCAGATTTTGGCAAACCTTTTAGGCATGCTTCAGAGGTTAAAGCAACTGTGATGCCACATGAGCTGAGGAGAAAGCCGACCTGTTGTGGCGGTGTGTCAGAGCTAGAGAGGGGCAACTCAATTGGCAGCGGTACGAGACCACGAAACATGCAACCATACCAAGCAGTAATGAAACTGCAAATTAGAAACGTATAATATACAAATAAATAAATTTTAATAAAATTTCAAATAAAAATCAAATGAAATGTTTAACCTCAAAGGGTCGTTGTTGGGGTAAACCAAGGCAACACGATCGCCTGGTTTGAGTGTAATTTGCTCTGGACCCTTGCTAAAGATTTTCGTTGAGAGTGCATAGGCGATTTTTTGTGCGCGCGACAAACATTTGCCGTAAGTTATTGTTGTTGTGATTTTGCCATTCGGATCGAGTACTGTCGCCATTGGCGATTTAAAAGAATTGGCGCCATAACGTTGCAGTGCTGCCTCCAATGAACGTGGCAAACCCGCTGGCACTGCCAATTGTTCACCTTGCACTGCAGTCATAATACTACCCTCGGGTTTTGGTGCATTTGGATCTTTGGGATTTGCTGCGATTTCGAGTTCAATATCGTTGTCTTCATAAAATTCAGGCAATGGCCGACGTTTGGGGCGTTTAAGTGTATTCAACAATTGCTGAATTTTAGCTGAAACTTTCCAACGTCCATTCGTATCAGATTCACCTAGATCGGTTTGTGAGACATTTACATAGCGCGTCACACGATCGGCAGCGTGACGAGTATTATTAAATTGCGTGATATCAGGTGCGGCATCTGAGGTAAGTACATAAAACGCGATTAAAAACTCAAAACTACAAATGTTTACTTGAAATCGTTAACTTACATGGTTTGTGCTTGTCTTTGCTGTCAGTGAAATCAGTATTCTCTTTCATATATGCCGTTGGAGGCGATTCTGTGCTGGATGTATCCGAAGTTGGCTGTGAATACATATTTCAATGATTTAAGTCTCAAAAAATTTCCATATTTTTCTGTCCAATATCTAATATTGATTAATCATTGATTCCAATATCCAATTATTTTTAAATTAAACTGTATCAAATGAAATTTCATTAATCGATTTTTCAGGTAATTTAAACTTTAACCTGATTCCATTATTTTATGATCTTTATGTGATTGTTCACACTTGCCTGGTTATGTGGTTATATTTTTTATTCAGTTTACAACAATATAATACACTAAAGAATAATAATTTTTAACCAGATAACCTGATAACCAGGCAGGTGAGAACAACCACTACAATAAAAATAATTTTAATTTTTAATTTTATTCAATGTATAAACATTAGTACAATAAGATTTAATATTTTATAGTAAAACAAATATCTGACTTAAATATAGAGAAAGAGAAAATCAAAAATCAATATACATATGGAAATCAGGGATGTTGCGAGTATTTGCATTCGCATTCGTTATGCGAATGATTCGCATCATTTTACACATTCGCATTCGACATTCGCATTCGCATCAAATGATACGAATTTTTTGCGAATGCGAATGTGTACATGGGCAGAGAGTGCACTCTAATATTGTTGAAATGGCTCTAAGCCTGTCTAACCAGAGTGCGGACAATAACCAGCTCGTTTAGCTGTGAAATTAAAGCTCAATTGAAGGCCTATCTTGAAGAAAAACGAGCTAATCTCGGCGAAAATCCTCTCGATTGGTGGAAAACTAAACTAAAATTCGACAAATTGACAGATCTGGTCCGCAAATATTTGAGCACTCCACCCGCCAGCGTTCAGTGCAGCCGACCTTATATATATACGAGCCTCTAAGAAATCACCTCATGGGAGAAAAGGCAGCAAAATTACTTTGTTTGAAATATAATATGCCCCTTTTCAACTTTCTCTACTACACCTTTTCCAACAGTATTTCAGAAAAACACAAATGTTTTTCAGAAAAGGCCAAATGAATTTCAGAAAAGGCTAAATGAATTTCAGAAAAAACTCAAATGTATTTCAGAAATGGGCAAATGTATTTCAGAAAAGCTCAAATGTATTTCAGAAAAGGTCAAATGTATTTCAGAAAAAGCCAAATGAAACTCAGAAAAACACAATTGTATTTCAGAAAAAATCAAATGATTTTCAAAATGTATTTCAGAAAAGGTCAAATGTATTTCAGAAAAGCACAAATGTATTTCAGAAAAGCATAACTGTATTCTAAAAATATTTTTCTGAAATACATTTGTGCTTTTTTGAAATACAAAAATCACAAAAAAGTCATTAAAAAAGCCGAAAATTAAAAATCCAAATTTCACTATTACTCTTGACCGAAAAACTACATCAAAAAGTAAAGATTTTGCAGTGATCTAAAAATAAGAGATTTGATATTTAACAGATATTTTCGAACATTGATAGAGTGTTTCGTTTTTTATATACATATTATGGTCGTTTTTAATCATTCGATTGCAAAAATCGATCATTATTTTTTTGTAAGCCTTAAAAGATTAAACCACTTTAGATTATTTTAGTACTAAACCTTTGTTGCAAAAAGAACGTATTTCCTATATTTTTCTTAACTTAATCGTAAAAATGGTAGTTGATTATAGAAATAAAGGAAAATAAAAATTTGAACATATTGCCAGATATAACCGATTTTCGATGGTTTTTCATGATTTATAATCGATTAATCGACTCATTTTTTGCCAATCCTACATATCCCTATATATGCATACATATGTATGTATATTAAATATAAGTGCAAAAAACTCTTACCAGTGGGGGCAAATTTTGCGGTGGTCGCCTTTCCGGATATTTATGTTTATTTTGTGCACCACCCATTGATGAATCACGTATGGGTGGTTTTATAATTGGTTCCATAATATTACTAACATGATCACGTGGATAATTATACTCCTTGTCGGGAGAAATTGTTTCCTCAGGAATGGATTCTTCATCTGTCGACGAATCTAAACAACAATGTGTAAAGAAAAGTAATAAAATTAATTCTTATATGATATATTTCCTCGGGCATTTAAAAACCCGCTCACCAATATCATCATTATTGCGATCCGGACTTCGATTGAGCACAGAACTTCTCTTCGATGGCATTGGTAAACTGGGCTTCGGACGAGTTTTCAGTGCTGCAAGCGCTTGTTGTACAGCTTCTTGTCGCACTTCTAAACACACACACACACACACACACACACATGTTTTGTTAATCAAAAGTATATCAGCTTTTATTTCTTGCTTCCATACTATTTAACCAAATGCAAAATATGTAAATACTTACCGGAATGATAACGTTTTTCATTATGTGTAATTTTCCGTTGTGTACGTCGTTGTCTGCTATGTTGATGGCTTGACTCGGATCTTTCTATATGTCCACCACTTCCACTGCCACCACCACCACCTCCGCCGCCACCACTACCACCACCACTCACTGAATGATGGCTACCGTCTGATTTTTTAGATGCATTGGAATGTCTTTGATGAGATGATGGCAGTGATGGGACTTCAGTTACGTAACTGTATCCCTCACTCGATACTAAGGCTCCGTCTTTCACAGTCTTTGGGTTTTGCGGTTGTTGTGGCGTTTTAATATTATAATAAGGAGGAATGGGTTTATCGCACTTGTCCAATTTTGAGTCATTGCCTGTTGAGTAATAATGCGAACAATATAGCAATTGGTATGATTTAAATAACTCAATCGGGTTTTCTTTTGTATGTTCTTTTGAATTCTATTAGAAAAAAAAACTTATTCTACATTCATTTCAGATAAATAATGGCTATATCTTATTTTGGAATTCTTTTATCTAAATTATTGGTAGGTAGATGCTCTATAACCATGTCTTTTATATTATCCAACGAGATAGTTGATTGGTCATTTAACGGTGATCTAATCCTGACCTAATTCGTGAGTCACTTGCATGTAAAATTAATACACACAATTACTTAAAAATATGTACTTTTATTCAGCGCTTTAACTCGCCACAAATTATAATAAACTGCCATGGAATCCAGTCAAGATCGATCGCCTTTTATTACTAAAATTAGAACGCTGAAATCAATCTGTTGCGGATTTGCTATAGGGCTAAAAACTGTTGCAAGCTAAGAATATATACTCAACAAACAATCTTTGATTGCTATCGTAATTTGAAACACCGGTTTGAAGCGTAAACAACCATTAAAGTAACATTTAATTAAACTATTTATGTATATGTACAAAAAAACACATAAAGGAATAGTAGAAGTGTTCAATACGGTATTAGAGATCATACAGTGACTCATACATACTTAAATATGCAAAAACAAAAAGAGAAAACAAATTCTGTTAATTACTTCAACACTTCAAGCTATTGCTTTTCATTATTAGGAAATAGTCTCACCTTCGGTGGTCGGTATTAAAAATGGTTGTAGCAATTTTGCTCTCTTCTTTTCGTATCCCTTCTGTGTTATGTCGCCTGAAAAAGTAAGTATATAAAAACTTATAATGATAATGTACATATGTATACCAAAAGATATAACGTATATGTAACAAAAGTCTTAACGCCGGTTCTAATATGAAGGAGTAAAAAATAAATCAATTGCCTGGCATAATCTCGACAATGCTTATGAACATACATATGTAAACATGCACATACATATGTATGTAGTTACTTGTATCACATTGTGCTAGCATTATGCATATACTAGTTAGTAGCATATACAGATATATATACTTGAGGGCAATATAGTTACATATGGATATACAAAGGAGACTTGATTAACATGTAACGCATATCAGACAAAAGAACAATTGACTTTACTCCTAGTAAGGCACATACGTACTACGGGTATAATACGGTATTTTCTAAAGCTAAATATATTTTCATATGTTCCGATCATCATGACACCAACAACCAACCTTCAGATAATTCCAAATCCAGCTCCGCTAACTTTTCTCGTACATCAGCAGGAAGTGCTGCTAAATTTTCCATCAAATTCGCAGACATTTCTGCAATATATGTATTTTTTTGCTTTTATTTTACTTTGTACCTTTTTGCAGTATTGTCGTATCCCACCCTTAAAAATACAGGATGTAGTCCTGTCGAGAAATTTTTTTCTTTCCTTTTATTCACTAAATAGCGATAATTCGTCAAAAACCACTTGGACCATAATCACGAAGGAATGCACATTTGCTAACCTCAGCACTATACTTTTGGTATTAATTTTACTTTTTTGCTGCCATACAGACACAAAACACAAACTCTGTAGAAATTCTTGTCAGCTTTAAATCCTAGGTACATACAATATCATTCATATCCACACAAATACTCGTAGACGGAGCAGTTGGGTTAGTGGCTGCCCAACCCCGATGATTCAACTCGACACAGAAAACATATCCAGTAATTTTTTCAAAAATGCCTATTGTTCATCGTTGATTAACACAACTCTTTATGGTTAAATGCTCCACTTTCATTTATTACTTCGTAATAGTGTACTATATTAAATTTTATATAAAAGGAATTAATCGAAGTTGCACGAACTTCGTCAATTTGACACAAAACAAATTGCCAATGTTGCCACTATTTCCTTTTTAGGAAATACATATGGGCACAGAGTTGTTAAACCTTTTTATATCGTAAAAATTTTGCAATATTTGGTCAACATGATCCAACTACACAAGATCTGACAAGTTGAAGCAAAAGAAAAAAAAATTTTCTGGCTGACGTTTGTAATTTCGGCGCCATGTTATTTTCTTTGAAAAGTAAACAAAGAATATGAAGACGAAGCATAAGGAAAAAATGCAGGCAATTTTGCAGAACATGTTTGTGCTAATCAATTTATTATTTTGTACGTGTTTTTGCAACCAATCACCGCGCACTTCATTTTAATTACATTTGCACAAAAAATTTATTGAAAATCGCTTAAAAGTCGCTGAAATAAACCACCGACAAATACACATAAAGAAAGAAGCAAAACAGAAATAAAACCTTCCAAAATACGAACGTCACACACTTTTTTCTCAATTACTATTACAAATGGCTGCTTCTCAACCGGTCAGATCTGTTCTAATTGGTTCATGTTGTGTCAAGGCGTATTCATATAATACCATGTTCTGACCGACAACGAAAACACTTTGAAAACGAGTTTTGGGATTGTGGACTGAAGGCTGTTCACACCGGCTGTTAGCGTTTTCGTTGACATTTCTTACATCTTTTGATTACAGATTTGCTACACAAAAACAGAACCAAAATACTCTTCCTTCAATTTCTTTTCATTTACAACCTCTTCCTTTCATTCTAATTTTACTTAAGCCAACCAATTAACAATAAATCCGAAATGGCGTATTAAAGATGATCAAATATGACTTCCACTTCGATAAATAATTGAAAAAAACTAGTGCAGACACCGTTTGGACTGAGTGGAACGTGAGTTTTCAAGTAGTTTTCAGCGAAAACTGGTAGATTTTACATGGACGAAAATACAAGTTTTAGATCGAAAACCAGTTTTAGCAACGAAAACATGTTTTCGATGTCGGTCAGAACATGGTATTAGATGGTGTTGCTGAACAGCTGACTTGATTCGCCTCGGTAGACATATGTCAAAATTCATATTTCGCTTAAGTGAGTGAGAGATAATGTAAGAGTGTTTGCAGTTTCCTACCCTATTTGGAACAAGTGCAGAATAAGGTCAGTTTTTCCAAAATTCCATCGTTGACCATCCATAGAACCTACAATATAAGTTTGCACCGAAAAATTTGTATACCATTAGAATCAGAAAAAAACGACGGACCACGCGCACTTTTTCGTTTTATGTTTCTAGCTTATTCTGCACTCATGCGTATAAGCGCACAGAATAGGACCCGTTTTTCGAAAATTCGTGCTTCGCCCGTCGGTAGCCCAGAAAACATAAGTTTGAGCAAAAAAAAATAATGTTTTACCATTAAAGTCGCAAAAAAGGGTGGACCACGCCCATTTCTTTGCTTTTTTCTAAAACCAAACATATAAACATATAAAGGTACATATAAAAAAGCAATATTGTTTTCCCTCAAAATTTCACCAGAGCAGAGATCTTTTGATATAATAATTCGTTATAGTAATACATTTGTCGATATTTATATATGATATATTAAAACAAAATTCCTAAACTTATTAAAAGTTCAGTAATAACGAAGATATTGGTCAAAATAAAAAGCTCACGCTCACGCTCGCACTGAACTGTATATCAGGCTTTAGTCCTGTCTTTGGTAACATCTACTATATATGCACTCTAAGGGCTCTGTCACACGGTCAGTAATTATCACGATATTTGGATCGCGATCCATATTGATGGATTGATGGATCGCGCACGAATGCTACATGGTCAATATTTATCGCGTCAGTATTCGCATAATTTTTGTGCTGAACGCTTATTATGACGCAAGAAAATATTTTTATTTTCTACGTATAATTTACAGATAATGCATTCCACAATTATTTTGAAATTTCCAATGTTAATTAAAATTTTTTCAATTTCACTTGAAAGGTTTTAAGCACCGAGAAGGAAGGCAAAACGAATACCCTTTCGATGTTCGCATTATGAGAGTAAAAGATGTACTGACGAATTGTATGGATCGCGTTTGGAAAGTGCTACACGTTCAATATTTATTGACGGTATTGCGATCCGCGATCTAGATTTCAAAATTTTTAGAAATTTTGCGATATGGATCATGATCCATCAATACTGCATGCTACACCGTCAATAAATATCGCGATACTTGGATCACGTCAATGAATACTGACCGTGTGACAGTGCCCTAAGAGTACACATGCCCTAAAAGGATACATATACATATGGGCTTTCGTTTCAAGCATAACTTTGTTGATTATATTCGATACTCAGAAGGAAACGTTAAGCTTCATATATATATACCACGTTTATACCTACCACGAAAATACAACCGTACACATACAAATTCGTTTTTGACTACACTGGCCTATGAAGATCTGAGTGTCCGGCCATTATCAACTCTACCATCAAAAAAAAAAATTTCGACTGCGAAAATCGCTGAATGTAAATATGTCGTTTTACAAAACCCAGTGATTGCCTTTGAAAAAAGTAAGTGTGGACCTCACGTTAGCTTAACAGACGGAACCACTACAAATCGGGTTGCCGTTATACAAACATTATTAAAATCTGACATTGTACGGTAATTTAAATTAAATAGGTATAAACGTGTTATATTACAATGCAGAATATTCTTATAAAATGCTTGTAAATATGCAGTTATATAAGTTATTCTAAAAATATACGTTTGTTTATTGTTTCTCAAAGTTGCATATCTATGTAGTAGTATTTTCAACTCACACATACTCATTAAAGAAAACGACGTAAGTTAAATACCGTTTTTTACATATATAGGGAACACTTTGATGCTTAAATTGTAATAAAATTTTTGTATGAAGCACATTTTAACACGTTAATTTAATGGGTGCTTTTAGAAAAAAATTTCAATATTGAGTTATCCGCAGTACATACCCTGCAAACCATTTTTTCAGAGTATTCTGCATTGTAAAGAAATTTTAAAGAATTCGTTAAGATTTAATTCGATTTTTTGCCGAATTTTCTAAAATGAAATAAATTACGCACACTTCCATTCTTTTACGAAATTTCGGAAGAAAATCTATGAAGCAACGGAAATAATGGTGCTCTGTGAAGAATATTTTTCAGAATTTTTCCAGAATTTTCTTTATTTTTCGTACAGAGATTTCTTTACGAGTTCGTGTCAACCACTTCATATAATTTTCTTTGAAAATTCGTAAAAAACCGTTACAGAAATGAGATACTCCTAACGATTTCCTTAAGATTTTGGGGAACTTTGATTTGCAGGGTAGCTAGTCGTATGCATTTTGGAAGTTACCCTGCAAGAACAGTGAGTATCATTTGACAAATCATTTGAGTGGCAAGACTGATAGAGATTTCTGTCACTGGCTACCTACAAGTCTCTATAAAAATCTAAAGGGCAGTGTGAAAAATCTGATGTAAACATTTGTGTACATGTGATCTTCCGTCTTCGTCCAACTTATGGCCTTATTGAAGAATGGTCTGTTTTTTAACCAACGCAAAATTTGCAAATCTGTTAGTAAGATAAATGAGAATGTGTTAGTTTCCATCACACAATTCTTGTAGAGTACCCTTAACACATATGCAAATTTTGCGTTGGTTAAAAATAGACCATAAAATAAGGCCATAAGTTGGAGGAAGACGGAAGAATTTGTACACAAATGCTTATATCAGATTTTTCACACTGCCCTTTAGAATTTTATAGAAACTTGTAGGTAGCCAGTGACTGAAATCTCTATCAGTCTTGCCACTCAAATAATTTGTCAAATGATAGTCCCTGTTCTTGTAGGGTATTTAGGGTTGCTCATAACTTCCATTTCCACGGGAAATGAAATAGGCATCCATTGAATTTGGGTTGCATTTTATGTATCCATTTTCACTGGAAGCGGATGGAAGGTAGGAAAATTTTTGATACGTTAACCCTGTATGTGTACACAGTACACAGCGCAGCACAGTGTATTTATACTGGTTTAGCTTCGAGTCAAGTCGATCAGAGTGGTTTATTGAAGTTGTTTCTCTTTTCTCTTTCAGTTTTGTTTGTGATTTCGTCGGGGAAGGTGTGTGTGGTCGTGCCGATTTTACATTTTGTGGCTTTAAGTGAAGTAGTACATAAGGATTTTTTTAGCTGTCTGCATATATATACTTGTTTATTCCATTGTGTGTACACTTAGTAGAGTGCTTGCTGTAACGTTCGTTGAAAAAGTGGAAAGCCATTCCTTATCCCAGATAAAAATTGGGAGTTTCTTGTAGTGAAACTAAAAATTTTTTTGGAATTTTTTAAAATAAATTAAAAATTCACTCAAAAAAACTTAGTAGAAAAACTAATATTACGAAAACACCTTTATACAAAAATTAAATCAAATAAATAATACAAAGTAAATAAAAAAAAATAGATAAAAAATGGCATCCGAGGTAAGTCAGACACCAGTTACCGAAAATAAGGTTGCTGAAGAGGCGGCGGTGACCAAGCCAGAAACAACAGCTACAGAAACAGTAGCAGCCAAGGAGAATAACGCTGAAAGCAATGGTGCCGATACAGCGAACAACGCACAGGAGAAAGGCGACGACACAAAGGCGTCGGCCGGTGATGATACAAAGAAAGATGGAGACAATGTTACTACTGTAACAGTAGCTAACAGCAAAACCGAACCAGCACCAAAGTTCAATGTGCATAAAACGAACTTTGAGAAGGATGTAATATATCTCTATCAGTTTTCCCGCACTCCTTTGCTGCCGTCGTTATCACCATATTGTCTAAAAGTTGAAACCTGGCTGCGTCTGGCAGGTCTCAAATACGAGGTAAGAAAAATAAGTCCATGATACATCTATTATAGATACAAACAGAAACATTTAAATCCATGCATATATTACATACATACATATGTATGTATGTACACACGTATAACTTTGTAGGAGCAAAATCCTCATTAAAAAATGGAAAAACCCACATATGGGGCTAGACACTGAAATACAGGATTCGATACTCAGGCATACTTAATATGTATGTATGTACATACATACAAGCATAGATACATATGCATGTATATATGTATACTGTGTACATACTGTATCACCATACTACCGCCACCGCATACACTTTGTCATATCCGCACAAACGAAGAAC